GTGGAGCTATGGAGTAAGATGAATGGGAGATAGGGACTGAATCTCCAAAAGAAAGAACTGGTAGCACCTCAGAAATATCTAAGTGATTAACTGGACCTGTGAAGTATGATTGAGTTTCAAAAAGAAGGTAACATCAGCAGACATAAGAAATCGCTGAAGGTCAGGAGAATAACATCGATATCCCTTTTGCGTTCTCGAGTAACCCAGAAATATGCACTTAAGAGCACGAGGAGCTAACTTATCTTTTCCTGGAGTAAGGTCATGAACAAAGCACGTACTCCCAAAGACACGGGGTGGAAGAGAGAACAAAGGTAAGTGGGGAAACAGGACAGAGAATGGAACTTGATTTTGGATAGCTGAAGATGGCATACGATTAATAAGATAACAAGATGTAAGAGCTGCATCTCCCAAAAATGCAGCGGAACATGAGATTGTATAAGTAGGGTACGAGCAGTTTCAATAAGATGTCTATTCTTTCTTTCAGCTACCCCATTTTGTTGGGATGTGTACAGACAAGATGTTTCCCATGGGAGTTCAAAAACTGCTGAAATGGGGAAGACAAATACTCTAGGGCATTATCACTACGAAATGTGCGGATAGAAACCCCAAATTGATTTTGAATTTCAGCGTGGAAGGTCTGGAAAATAGAAAACAACTCAGATCGATTTTTCATCAAAAATATCCAAGTGCACATGGAATAATCATCAATGAAACTGACATTGTAGCGGAATCCCAAGGTAGAACTAGCCCGACTAGGACCCCAAACATCTGAATGGACTAAAGTAAAAGGTGACTCTGCTCGATTATCAAGACGCCGCGGGAAATGGGAGCGGGTATGCTTACCGAGCTGACATGACTCACACTCTAGAGTGGACAAGTGAGATAAGCCAGGTACCATTTTCTGAAGTTTTGACAAATTGGGATGTCCTAACCGTTTATGTAATAAATCTGGTGAATCAGTAACGGGACAAGTTATTGGAGGAAGACAAGATGCGAGTCTATGTGATTTTGCAAGGATAAGGTAATAAAGTCCATCTGGTTCACGTCCGGTACCAATGATCCGCCCTGTACTGAGTTCCTGTATACAAACAAGGTCATCAAAAAATAAAACAGCAGATTTAAGTGATTTGGCTAAACGACTAACGACTATGAGATTAAAAGGACTACCAGGAACATAAAGAACAGAGTCTAAAGGTAAGGAAGGAAGTGGACTTGCTTGACCTATTGCACTTGCCATGGCTTGAGACCCATTGGCCATTGTGACTATTGGAAGAGATTGAGAATATGAAATACTAGTGAAAAGAGATTTGTTACCAGAAATATGATTAGATGCACCTGAATCAATGACCCAACACTCAGAAGGTAAAGATTGGGAGACACAAGTCATGCTACTATTTGTTGGAACAACGGAGGCTAATCCTGAAGATGTCTGTTTACGTGCTTTGTACTGAAGGAACTCAATATAATCCTGTAAAGAAACCATCTGGATTGGATTCAATGCATTGGATCCAACGGATTGTGAGTTAAAGGCTTCCGATACGAATGCCATTATAATATCGTGCCAGAAAAAGCAGAAATTTTCTGGGGATCACTGTTCACGCTGGAAAAATCACTGTAGCTCGCCGGAAAATTCCAAAGTTGTCGGAATCTGTCGGAAATAGTACCAATGGACTCGGAATTGCAAGGAGATGCCACTGTCCAAAAGAAGCGTTTCCAAATTCTGGCCGGATGGGACAGACGCGCCGCCGGCGGCAGATCTCCGGCAGGCGCGTGGGGGCGCGTGGATGGTCTTTTTCAGGTGACTTTTTCTGGGGCTTGGTCGCCTATCTCTTGGGAACCTTTTGGTGTTGTTGGGTGTCGCACAACACTGATAATTAGTGACTTTGACGCAAATAGTCACTTAGGTCACCGGAAAATTGCACGGTGACAGAGTTCTTTCTTCCCGGATGTCGCTGGAATGACGCACAGCGATCTCTTCTCACCAAAGCTCTGATACCATGTGAGAATGCACGGGAGAAAATATTATTCATTAATTATGACAATGATACAATGAGCCCTATATATATATATATAATACATGTCTTACTCCTAATACTTATGGGATTAGGGTTATTTACTACTATTTAACTATCAGACTAACAAACTAGATAGAGGAATAGACAAAATTGGCCATAGACTTGCTCATGGATTGACTATGAAATAAGATGAAGTAAATTGTAACTCCTCCCAGATCACACTATTCTTTTGGATGTCCTTAAACTTTCTATATATGTGGTAGAAGATTTATGAAGCCGAGTTTTCGTAGGAACATGAAGTGCATAGCTACAAGAAGACCAGAGCTTCCCATCATAGTGAAAAGACCAAAATATAACTATTGGTGCTTACTGCATACTAGTTTACTGTCAAGGACCTGCTCACCTTCTTTCCATTTAATTTTGACATGCAGCAGAAAAATAGACGACTGAACTCTATCTCTCTTTACAACTTCTCGATCTGTATTTGCATAACGTCTGTTTCCTTTAACACTAAGATGTCTCTTGATGGCTACCAATATAGGATCACAATTGTTAATCAACATCATGTGTTCCAAAATTTACCTGTACCTTACTAATTTACCTTTCTTTCTCTTTTGTTTTTTAATATGCTTAGATTGGTTATGATAAGCAAGGACTTCCAATAGGCTTGCAGCTTATTGGTCGTCCGTGGTGTGAAGCTACAATCTTGCGTTTAGCTACTGTGATAGAGGTAATCTCCTCCATCTATACCATAACACCACCCACCCCAACCAACTAACTGCTAAAAAGTTACAATTGAGTATTGACAGGAGATTTTGACTTGTGCTTTCAGGAAATCTCTGCAGAGTATAGGAAGAAGCCAGTGGAGTACTATGACATCTTGAAAGGGAAGTGAGAATAATGTTTTACAAGACACAATTGAAAGAGAGCGAAGGAACTGACAGGAATAAGCTTAAGCCTAGCCTTAGGGTAAGAGAAAGATTTCATCACAAATGAACTTACATAGAGAACGAATCAAGTAAGTGCTGAAGAACAATACTCCTAGATATAGAAATGTGGTTGCTTTTTCAATAATTATATCTAGTGGATTTTGGTGATATATGCCTTTGATTCATGCATTTAGTACCAGCAACCTTTCTGTAATTTTCTACATCCTTGAAGTTGTACACTGAAACTGCTTCATTCATAGTTTAATGCAATATTTGGTTGTATTCTATTTTATTTGATTATTTGCTCCAAATTACAAAAATGCATGAAGATAATAGATCAGGTAAAGAGATACAATAGAGGCAAAGGGAAGTTGTGAAAAAGTACAACACATCATCTTACAGGGAACCACATTCATTTTCCAAAAAGAGCACCAAAATAGCTTTGATTTACAGAAACATAAGGGCAAAGTATGTGATAAAGGTCTAATCTAGGGGCAAAATAGATTTACTAAAAGAACATTTATTGCAAATCCCTGATTTCTATAATATTTCGATTTCTATGTATCAATATGCTGGTTTTCTTCTTCTTTGGTCCCGGTAGGGTCCTTCTTCCTCCTTATCCTTCAAGAAGCCTAGGATGATAAGAAAAACAGAAAAGAAGAATGCCCAGCGGCCTCCACCACCCTCACCTGCCCAATGGCCTCCACCACCCCCACCCCAACCCCCCATCCCCACCCCCGCGCCGCCACACGCTGCCATCATCATCACGAGGGGGAAACCCAGCCCCACCATCGTCGAGATCAGGAGATTTCTCCTTCCCTGCATTCAACCCAGACATATCAGCATCAAATGATACTTGCACAGGATCTTTGTAGAATATAAGCACGGCTCTCATTTTTGGTGGATAAAATTGCTGAAAAATGTGCAGAGTGGCATTGTGCATCGTTTTAAGCAACAAAACAATGACTTTTAATAACACTGCTTTCTAAATCAACAGGGCGGGATGCGGTCACCACTAACCATAGCATAACAGTGAAAATAGCTAACATGTAAAATATGGATTGTTTTATTTCCATTCATTTTGTTCCACCAGTTTCTGTAGTGGGGTCTGGGGAGGATAGTGTATACGCAGACCTTACCCAGAGAGGCTCTTTCCGAAAGACCCTTGGAGGTTTCCGTAAAGAACATGAAAAAAATTACCTGGTGCAACTGTAATGGTTGAATTTTCCTTTGTAAGAGTCTGCATCTGGCCTTTAGTTGCACATCTGGCTCTCTGCATAAATGCAGAATTGAAAGGTTGAACAAGGAATACTAGTGGCAATAAATGTTACTAGAATGATGCAGGAAATGGAAAACCAAAAACTAAATGCAAGCAGTAGTAATCGGAGCAGCAGTATCAAGAACATCAATATACATAAGTGATGAGGTCCTAAACTCCTAATTCCCATTGTTTCTTTTTTAGATTAAAAGTTTGGCAGATCCTATTTCCAATTGTCTGTAACTAGAAATGCATTACACTACCACTTTCAAGTACTTAAGAAACAAGGATATATTTTCACATTTTACCAATCCATATCTAACAACAACAACAACAATCCAGTATAATTCCACAAGTGGAGTCTGGGGAGGGTAGTGTATACACATACCTTACCCCTACCCCAAGGGGTAGAGAGGCCATATCTATAAACAACGAGTTGCAAATAGAAAGGCTAATCAACTTGAGTTCCGGGTACTTGTTTTAGTGAGTGCAGTTGTTTACAATATACTAACTGCAGAAGGAGAAATAGTCCAATGTGATAACTTATGCCCATTCTGAAGCTCTGAAGCTTCTCACAGCAAACGTCGCACAAAATTAATATATAAGACATGACAAGTACGACTGATCCACTAGAATCATTAGGGACATGTAACTAAACAGGAAAATGCTAGCAGTTGCACAAACAGTAGTACCCAAAGAAATGTTACCAGAGCAGCAACACATATTACTGAAGCGCGCTTTTCTTGAACAGGACATATCAAGTGTCTTCCATTGTTAATAAACTGAGACTGCATGCCAAGCGGCTGGAGGCCAAAAGATACTATTGGCTTGAATTTCTTCAGGCATTCAGCGTCTGCTCCCACTGTGACAACAACATCCAACGATTAACAACATAGATAGCACAAGTTGCAGGATGAGCAGCAAATCTTCAAATGGTTTTGCAAATGATGAATTTTAAAGTATCAAATCTATTGATGACATCTTTGTCAAACCTTAAACATAAATGTTCGATTCAGTTACTTCAGAAACTAACACCATCACATCAAGTTAACCAGAATCAAAGGCGAGCTTTTTTATTTTTAAGCGCTTCTTTTGACAAGTAAACTCAAAGACAAAAGCTTTTGACTTTGGAAAAGGATGCGTCTTAGACTTCAAAGGAGTTGAACAACACCAAATTCACGAAAGCTAAGATGATAAATCATACACACTTTTACTGATTTGCAGTAAGAAAAAGTATTTCAACATGTTGGTGAGTGCAAATATATGTTTTCATGGAGAGAAAAAGAGAGTGCTAAAATAGTCAAAAATCATACGCAGAACAGCAACTGCAATATTACAAAAAGATCATAACTTCATGTTACGTTCTGATGTAATTCCTAAAGCACTTGTAGCAATGGCTATTCAGATATCCTTACATCTAATGCAGCAAAGGCTCCTCAGTGAGATAACAACAAGAGAAGCTGATATATACGGAGTAATATATTAATGTTTGACATGATCAAAGGATATGAAAGTTTTCATTGTGTGATCCTAATTACATGAAAAAAATAGTAATATGGCATTCCTTTAAATACATGCAGAGGTACTTATTAAAAGGAATCAGTCAAGGAATATACACAAACATACCTATTGGCAAAGTAGGTGCACTCATACTGGTACTGGCAGTTAACAACATCTCTTTGAAAAAATTCTGTCTCCCTGAAATTGAACTCCTACTAGAATCCTGAAATACAAAAGGAAGAGTAGATTGAGTATGCAATCAACAACAATAACAAGAAGTCAACAACTACATGTCAATCGCGAATAAGTTGGGAGAGGCTATATGAACCTATTAATCATGTTTCTTCATTTAAGCTCAACTCATGCCATCATCACACCATATGGCATAATGAGTGAAAAACAAGTGTAATATATATAAACTATAGTAGAATAATCATTATAGAAAAGCAAGAGGAACAAAAACTAGGTACTAACAAGACTAAAACCTATTCCCGTCTATATCAATTTTTTCCTCCATTGTGCCATCTCTTTAGCTAAGTCTACATTGATACCAAGAAATTGTAGGTCTTTTGACACGACTTCTTTCTATGTGATTTTAGGTCTACCTCGTCCCCTTTTAACACCTTAACTTACCATGGTTTTACACCTACGGATTGGTGCATTTGGAGGTCAACTCAGAACATGACCAAACCATCTCATACAACCTTCTCTTATTTTATCCTTAGTGCTTGCTACTTGCACCTTCTGGCGGATGACATTTTTAAATCTTATCGAATCTTGTATAATCACACATCTATTTAGCATTCACATCTCCGCAACACTCATCTTTTGAATATGTTGAACTTAGGCGACCTGACATTCACTACAATATAGCAGTATCGGTCCTATAACTATTCTGTAGAACTTGCCTTTCACTTAGGTAGGCATCATTCTATCACATAACTCCCCCGGTAGCACTTCTCCATCAAACCATCCGGTTTTAATTCTATGAGTAATATCTTCATCTATCATTCCACTCTCTTGAAACCACATTCTCACGTTTTTGCACAAGCACAAATTGAATGGCCTTTCTTGCCTCTGGTGCACTATAAGTTCTCTCAGTAGGCAAAACAGGATTAGCGACGAAAGAATGTTAATGTCCAATATCAGCTTGACTCTTAGATCAGATGTCACATGTATTCTGTTCCATATCCAAATATACACCACCCAAGAATTCCTTCTTAAGGACGAGGATCATGATGGCTCTTATTGGATCAGACTCTATTCTCTAATACCTTAACCAACCCAGAAACAAGATTTCCAAATTCCTTTTCTTAAATACATAAGATACTATTTATTTAATAGAAAAAAATTACAGTTAATTGAAGCTTTGTTTAGGGTGCTTGATTTAGTCTGACTCTGACCTTTTTTTATTGTTAATTCGGCGCTCACCTTGTGATACAGAGAACAGCGGTTGCCAAGTTTCTGAAGCTGCTCAATTAGAATCCCGTGTGAAATAATAAAAATTAGAAGAGAATGATAATAAATACAAATTTTATATATATAGAGAATTTATGATGGCAGAATCACTAAACCTAGAAATCATGAACTTATAACTTAAAGGTGAGTTTGTGAGCTTGCCATTGCTTCTAATTCCGTTAGTAGGAACACTTAATATAAACGACGTATTTATTTCGTCGTTGAGATGCAAATTATGTGGCTCTACTTATTAGGTCAAAATCTTTGGGATGAAATTTTATGGTATGTTTGTTATGATGGAAAGTATCATCACAACAACAATAATATCACCAATATGAGCATATGGACATTCTTTGAATGCAAAAGGGGAGGAACAAAAAGAATTTTTGTCCCAAAAACAAAAGGAAAAATTATATCTAAAATCCCTTACTACATTTTTTTTCTACTTACATCACCAAATAATGAATTGATTTTGTATAAGCATTTTCGATGCTACTAGCCCTTGTGACTATATTTTCTTTTACTCCAGGCTCCAGCCCTCGTGGAAGATGTTTTATTTATTTTTTAAATAGAGAAATCATTTTTTGGTGTTTCGTTATCGAAAAATAATTTTAAAGAAAACATCTTTCCACCAAAAATAGCAATGGAATTTGACCAATAACTTATAATACATGATTATCGATTTTAACACACGAAAATCATTGAAATACATCCAATTTTATAACATTACCATTAACCTTTAAACAATACTTAATTTTTAAAGAAAAATCATTTTTGAAGTGGCAGCACGAGGAGGAAGGAACACCGTAAAGTTTGTCAAAACTGGACAAATTTTAAATAACTTTTATAGATGGGTATATTTTAAGGAGTAATTTTCAGAAACCATTATTGTTTAGTGGCTATTAACTTCCTATAGCTATCATATACATAATTACTTCCTAATTCGCTGTATTCGTGCTGCTGTATTCATGAATACAACAGCAAAAAGTACCAAAAAATCAGGGTAGTCCAGTTGTGCGCGCATGTATTCACATGTATTCGCGCCATGTATTCATGAATACAACAACAAAAAGCGCCTAAAATCAGGGCAGTCCAGTTGTACGCGTATGTATTCACAAGTATTCGCGCTGCTGTATTCATGAATATAACAATAAAAAGTGCCTAAAATCAGGGCAGTCCAGTTGTACGCGCATGTATTCACATGTATTCGCACATGTATTCATGAATACAACAGCAAAAACGCTTAAAATCAGGGTAGTCTAGTTGTACACGCATGTTCAAAGGCTATTAGAGTTAAAGATTAGGTCAAGCTCTTGATCTGGTCATAAGACCACTCTTACAGTTGATATTTGTTGATTATTGCTATTTTTTCCCAACTTTTCAGGTATGCAGCAATCTTAGGATCCTCTCCAGCTGATCGAATTCCACTGAATCCTGTAATCACTCACAAAGTGTACTTTTGCAAAATTTCAAGATATTGTTCGGTATTAATTAAATCCGAATTCGTTCAGGGAGGTCCTATATTAGGGGTAAAGCGTTCTCTAGCAAAAGAGAGTTCATACCCAAGACTCGAACGTGAAACCTATGATTAAGAATAAAAAGGTATTTACCACTCCACAAAATTAATGTTGAAGTGATAATGTTTGTATTATTAGGCTGAATCTAAGGATTACTGGAGATTTCTTTAGATTTCAGTTTTCAATATTGAATATGAGTAAGAATTAATAACACTCTAATCCCTTGCTCTATAAACTTTGGATTTTTTTGCCTCCTAAATGGTAATGAGTGTAGTGCTAATTTGCATTTTTCCAAAAATAGAGTTACCACTTAATGTCTCAATATAAAAGTAATGCAATTACAAACAATTCGAAAAGATGTTACAAAAAGAGAAAATCAGAGACAAGAGGGAGTTCTTCAAACAATGACATCTAGACCAACAACAATAATTAAATATAAACGATATAATGTGATATATCACATTTCATATTTCTAAACCAGGAACATTAATTTTAAACTCTAATTAACAATCATGGTAACAATTACATAAACGATATCCGGGAATTAACTGGCAAATTGCATATGGATTTTGTGACTTAAAGTTGTCATAACAGTTCTTTTCACAACATTGTGTGTCGCAAAGTTTGCCGCAGAGGCCCAAACCAGTCATGCACTTCTCATTTGGGACTGCGTCGCTGCTAGCTAGCACCATTGAACCTAATTAGAAATACAAATAGTAAATATATATTAAAATAAGCATGACACGAAAAAACTTATATACATATAAGCAGAGGCGGACTCAGGATTTGAGTACGACGGGGGCACCACTATATGCTAATCACCAGCGATAAAATTATAAAGAAGAAAAAAAAACACCGAACATATATATAAAATTAAGTTGACTATTGTGTATTAGTACTAAACTATAAATGAAATAAATAAAAAAAAAGATAAAAGTAAAAAAAAAAGTAATTTGTTATTAAATATAAATTATATTGTATTCAAAGAATTAAAATATTAATAAAGTTGACTATTATATATTAGTACTAAATTATACTTGAATTAAAAAAAAAAGAGATAAAAGTAAATGATAAAGCAATTTGCTATTAAATATAAATTAATTGTACTCAAAGAATAAAAATAAAAAGGAGGGGTAAAAAGCTAAAGGGGGGTTTCAAACCTACGTCCCCAACAAAGGTTGAAAATTTAAGTGCCCAAAGCAACCACTTCTCCCATCTACCACTTTGTTTTAGGGGCACACTTAAAATATTTAAGGGGTCCCATGTATATGTACAGATATATATAATACGTATATACAAGGTTTTTGCCGAGGCTAACGGGGTCACGTGACCCCTCAACCCACCGCGTAGGTCCACCTCTGCATATAAGATATTTCATAAGTACAAGATTCCTAGATAGGGCCGTCTAAGAGTAGGGTATCCGAAAAAATACCCTTAGTACTAGTGTGGTAAGCACCCTTAAGGTACCGTATCGGTACCCAACCGGTACCCAACGTTTTTTTTTTAAATCTAGTCGTTTTTGTACCGTTAGCCGTTTTAAAATCTAGCCGTTGGCAATGGCCAAAAAGGGCTATTTTTGCCTCCCTAGCGGTTGGAGACTACTGTTTTATTCAGAGACTTAGAGACTGGATTAAAGCGGAGAGAAGAAACTTTAACCTTCCAGAAATAATTCAAGAAGGCGACGATGGATATAATGAAATATTATCTACCGGAGATGGCGGTAACGCAGACGAACAAGTGCTACCAATTCCAACCTACGAACCACGAAAAATTATTGAACAATTACGTAAATCGTTCAAAAGAAATATGTAATTTTATTTTTACAAGTGTTGAAATACAAATAAATACTTGTAACTTGTATTAGAAATCTAATATTTATATTGAATTGATAAAATAAAATAAAAGACACTTCATAACCTTGAATTTTTTTCATCCATTAAAGTTTGTTTGTATTTAAATATAATTTTTTATTTTAATTTTTAATTTAAAATTACCCCTAAGTACCGATATTGCACCCTTAATCCGTACCCTTAAATCTCCTTAAGAAAAGTATCCTTAAGAACCCTCCCGTTACCCTTACCCTGCCCGTACCTTTAAGGCTTTAACCCTTAAGAACCCAGTACCCTCCTCTTAGACAACCCTATTCCTAGGGTGTCTAATATTATAGTTATATTACTAATTACTATTATTATATCAAGTGATTATCAAAGTTGAGTGAGTATCTTGAGACGTTAATTAAAAATCAGGCTTAGAATAAATGCCGAAAGATAACTACCTGATACAAGAATGAGGAAAAACATGCATAAAGTGGTTGAGGAATTGGCCATTTTGCCTGTGAGGGAAATGTGTCAAATTAATCTTCTGAATTGGATTATCAAAGACTACTGCAAATTGTTTATTTAGCTAGGGACATAAATAGAGTGCACAATTTATGAAGTTTGAATTAGACAAAAATTCCCGAATTGGATTTTTCTCATCTTTAGGTAAGAAATCTGTTTTGGTTGTGTAATTCCATTCAGATGGAAAGAATATGATGTTTTTTATTATTTGGTCAATGGGTAAAATGGAAAGAATATGATATTTTTTATTAATTTATTTTGGTCAATGAGCTAGTCACATACAAAGAATATGAATTTTTTCATTCATTTATTTGGTCAATGTGAGCACTTAATTTTTGACTATTTTTAAATTTTATCACCTTCTACTATGTAAATATTTTTAGGGGTTTAATCTACAATTTTTAGCTTTGTTTCACTTTTTTTAGGATAAAAATTTAAAAGGTGCTATAAATAGAATTTTATTTATGGTGAATGTCTATATTTAGAGAGATTCTAGGGTTTATTACTTGGTGACTAAGTCACCATCTCCCTATAAATAGAGGGTTTTATTCCATTGTAAATCATCTCAAATCAATAAGAATTCTCTCCCTCTACTTTTCTCTGCACTACTCTTCTTCTTCTTTTATTATTTTATAACACGTTATCAGCACGAGACTCTAACAAATTGAGTAGAAATTTTGGGATTGAGCATAATGATTGTCAATTATTCCATGAACTTCCTTTATGATTAAATTCTGGATTTAAGGTAAGTATTTTACTTTATTTTTCTCTTTTAAATTCTTGAAATTCTACAATTTGATTTTATATACAAGCAAAGACAACAAAGTTTGATTATAACTCTAATGGAGTTTGTAAGAAATTATAACCACCTGAAGTGGTAAAAATTTCTATGTCTTGCCATGATCAAATTCATGTATGATTATGGGCACAAAAAGTGGAAACCCGTCCCATTGAATTTGCTCCATTCTCATTCCCTTAAGAGAATGTGATAGCAGTATGTGATAAGTCTGAAAGAAGACAAAATTATCACTATGAAGTATCAATGGATGTGGACGTGGCAATAGACGAAATTATAATCGTCATCATTGTGATAATGAGAATAATAAGGATTCTCAAAATAATCCCCCACTTGTGAAAATATTTGTCATCGATTTGACATGAGATTTTATAAAGCACATATAGATGATTATGGTCCATTCATGATGTGAATGTGACAACATCTGATTTAAGAATACATATTCATTTTTGGAAGAATATGAGCGTGCTAGTGGTATATACCACACTCACCTCTAGAAGGAGGTTTGAGAGGAAATAAGAAGATAATGTCATTATTATGGCATAAATGGTCATTGATCACGTACT